AGGACTGGCCAGCGGCTCCTGTGCCACACTGCCCAGCCACCAGCTGGTGTTAGCCAAGGGGTCTTCGCCTTGAAGCGGTGGCCGGAAAACTCCTTCACTGCCAAGAAGCGCCAAGGTGCCTGGGAAGAGCACACTAGAGAACAAAAAGCCAAAGTTCCCTGAAAATTTCTGTCAATGCAGTTGTGACTTTTGTTTCCTGAGCAACCGTGAGCCCTGGTGGGAAAGGGGTTTTCCCCGGCATCTCGGCAGTCCAGCCTCTTGGACTCTGAGCTCTCCAGACACTAATACCGAAACCCCCAGCCTCCAGGCCTGCCTGTCCTGTGGACTCCACAGGGAAGGGCAGCAGCTTTGCCTTCGGCTCAGTGGCACGAGGATGTGAAACAGCTCCGAGGTCAAGAGCCTTGAGATTGAACTAACTTTCGTACCCAGATCATGTTGTGGCTGGGGCAAAGTACAGGGGAGAGTCCCCCATGGAGGCAGCCTCCCCAGGTCCTGTACCCCAGATACCCCCAACCAGTGCCAGGCTTGCACCCTCCGGTAACTCTTCTTGTAGGGTCGGTTTCAAATGCCCAGTCTGGTCTGTCGTTAATTTCCATGACGGTGTCTTTCACTTCAGAAATATGTAATATCTATGAAACTCACTCTCTGTGTCTTCTACATGGCTTCTGGGTTTTATAACTTGTTTGTTCACTCCAGGAGTTTCAAAAGATTCTCTCATAAATGTGTCATTTTAACTCACACATAAACATTTTGAAATCATTTCTTTTTTCTTTCATTAATGGAAAGCTCGGGGTGGGTTAAAAGCCAGTCAGCGATGTTGACGGAGGCCGTAGCTCTGCCGCTCTTGAACCCCAGGCCTGCTCCTCTGAGCAAAGCACTTTTAAGTTTTGAACTCACTGTGTCCACTGAGAACACAGGTGGTTGGTTTGGCTTCCCATGTTCTGTCTCACTCACGAACTCCATCCGCTTTCCAGAAACCTTTGACCTGTGAGTCATGCTCCTCTTCCTATGGAAATGGGAACATATCTTCATTATTTTTCTTTTTACTGCTGCTTTCATCTGAGGGAAACAGAGATTAAACCTGTCCCCAAGATGGAAGGGAAGTCTCTGTATTGTTCAATCAGGAAGGCAAAGCTGTGTATAGAGTACCTGCCCGGTGCCCTGTCCCTCAGTCCCTAGTAAAGCCACCTCAGGGTACCACTGACAAAAGGGTTTTTGCTTTTTTAATTATTTAGCTTTTTTAGGCTTTAGTCATTTTTATTGGAAAGGCAGACTTACAGAGAGAAGGAGAGACAGAAGGAGAGGTCTTCCATGTGCTGCTTCTCTCCCCAAATAGCCACACTGCCAGAACTGTGCTGATCCAAAGCCAGGAGCCAGGAGCTTCTTTCAGGTCTCCCATGCAGGTGCAGGATCCCAAGGCTTTCCCAGGCTGCAAGCAGGGAGCTGGAAGGGAAGTGGAGCAGCTAGGACCTTGAACCAGCAGCCTATGGGATACTGGGGTTTGCCAGGGGAGATTTTAGCCAGTTGAGCCATCATGCTGGGACTAAATTATTCATTTTAAAATTCTGTTTAAAAATATTTATATGGGGTCAACATTGTGGTACAGTAAGTCTAGATTCTGCCTGTAGCATCAACATCCTAAATGAGCTCTGGCACAAGCCCAAGCTGCTCCCCTTTCAACTTAGCTCCCTGCTAATGAGCCTGGGAAAAGTGGTAAAAGATGGCCCAGGTGCTTGGGCCCCTGGTACCCATGTTTGAGATGCGAATGAAGCTTTTGCCTCCTGGCTTTGGCCTGACTCCATTCTAGGCCTTTGCAGCCATTTGGAGAGTAAACCAGCAGATAGATGTCTCTCTCTCTCTGTCACTTTTTCAAATTAATACAACTGTATATCTTTAATAAAGATACATTATATATAGATTTATATATATTTGCATAAAGTTTATATCTTTAAAAAGATGTATTTATTTGAAAGAATGACAGAGAGAGCAAGAGACAGGGAGATCTCCTATCTGTTGTTTTATTCTCTAAATGTCTACAACAGCCAGGGTGGGCCGGGCTGAAGAGAGAGGAGCCAGGAGCTTCATCTGGGTCTCCCACATGAATGGCAGGCACCCATGTACTTGAATCATCAGCTTCCTCACAAGCGTGTTAGCAGGAAGCTGGATCAGAAGTGGTAGAGGCAGGACTCAGATGGGCCTTCTCTTACATGATGCAGGCATCCCAGGTAGGGGTTCACCTCATTGTGCCACAGTGCCCACGCTGCAAGTTTTTTAATGTGTGTTTTCTCCAAAATAGGCTAGGATTTTCTGAGGCTCTTAAAATTTGAGGGTGCCTTGGGATCGTCAAAATTTTTGCCCAAACAGAAAACTGCAAATTCCATAATTAGGTCCTACATTAAATATATACAAAGGCTGTCATTTCCAACATGCTGTTATATTGTTATTAAAAAATACTCTTAAACTATTGAGTAGTATATAAATTGGCAGGAAAAAAAACACAATGAACATAGTTTTTCCAGCATATCAATAAATGTTCAAAAAAAATCTAAAAACTAAATTTAACCTCTGTTAAGGTGTGAGCTCCCTGTACTTGAAAGCATGATGCCTATTTATAAGGCAGAACTCATCTCACTCTCCAGAATGTTATACCACAGTTAGATTCAGGTTGGGTAAAAGCTAAGATTTTCCTTTCATGTTTTTTAAAGTGAAGACTGTTTTTTCTAAGTTCTGCATTTGAGACACAAGGCTGAGTCAAGCTCAGCAGAGGAGCTGGACTCTCCATCCCTGTCTCCCTCCTAAGTAGTAGGGGTCCTCACTGCTGCTTCCCAGGGTCCGCACGGAAGGGGAGCTCGAATCAGGAGCGACAGCAAGAACTCAAACTCCAGGTTTCCAAAAGGGGCACAGGCCTCCCACGCAGCATCCAAGACCCAGGCAACACTCTTTCCAAGGGGAGAAGAGTGATGGTCTGCTCACAGCTGACTCAGCATCAGGAAAGAATACAAAAGAGACCGCAAATCTGGAAACAGAATTTCTATTTGAAACTGTCAGGGGCCCCTTTTCCTGTGATAATCTCTCCCAAGGCTGCACCTTCCTCAGTTTGGCCTGAACCCAAATGAATGCATCCCCTGTCAGGAAGTGCATGCGAGATGGGGTGCAAGTAGGGGTGATGCTAGCGATGAGCCTATCAGATTTCATAATCTACACTGCCACTCATTCCCTACCAAAGATTCATCTCCAACTCAGCCAGGGATTTTAGGGGGCAGTGTTAGCGTAGCCTTAAAAAATAGTTCCTTTAGGGAGGGCTTGCATTTGCCTTATTATAGGCCTGATCCTAGCTTCCGCATAAGCATGAGATGCATACAGCTTTTACCAGTTCCTTCTCTTCCTGTACGATGGCCCCCCTTTGTGACACACACCCAGCAGCCTTATCCTGTCATGTTGCTCCATTGGCTGTTAGGTCATGGGGTCTCAGTGCCCTGGTAACACTGATAAATATTAGTAGCTGAGATTGTGGGTTTTTCCAGCAAAGTTTATTGATTTTCTTTTTAAAGATTTATTTATTTATTGTCAGAGACGCAGATTTATCGAGAGAAGGAGAGATAGGAAGAAAGATCTTCCAACCACTGGTTTATTCCCAAATGGCTACAATGACCAAAGCTGAGCCAATCCACAGCCAGGAGCCAGGAGTTTCTTCTAAGTCTTCCATGTGGGTGCAGGGTCCCAAGGTTTTGGGCCATCCTTGACTGCTTTCCCAGGCCACAAGCAGGGAGCTGGATGGGAAGTGGAACTGCCAGGACTAGAACCAGCGCCCATATGGGATTCTGGCGCGTTCAAGGTGAGGACTTTAGCTGCTAGGCCACAACTCTGGGCCCTCACCTTTCCATTTCTAAAAACATACTTTAGGAGGAAATTAATTACATCTTTGTCAAAAGTTTCCCTGCTATCTTAGCCTGCACTCTCCAGAAAGCAAAGCTGGCAACAAAGAGTGAAGTAATTTCTTTGGAAACTTGCTTTCACGGGTGTGGGATGGGAGAAAGAAACAGGGACACAAAGAAAGGCATACCATCACGCCTCCCTGAGATGACCCTGAAAAACAATTGGTCTTCCATTGTCCAAGACCTCCTGGAACCTCATCCTCCCAGAATGCTCCACCTGAGAGACCAAAGGCTGTCCCAATCACCCACTAACTCTGAGCCTCCGTCAGCATTCATACCCACAACCCTGCCCCCCCCCCCCCCCCCCCGCACTGCTACAAGGCTCAGTAAAGCACTTCCAGAGGTGTCCCTTGCCAAGGCAAGAGAGAAGCTCCTGGCAGAGTCTAAAGCTGACCTTGAACAGTACAATGCCAGGCAAGGGGCTGCCAGATTCTAGCCACGCTTGAGAGTCGGCAATCCAGCTTGGGTCAGCTGCTCCCTCACAGATGCTCCAACATTCTACAGAGATGGGCACTGGAAAGCTGGTGGGAAGTAGAAGCGGTGGTGGGACTCAGATCTTCTTTATCCCCCTATTTCCCTAGTGCCATCAACGTGTACCCCTGCGCTTCACTCCACCATGGCTACGATGGCAGCCATACACCTGTCCACCCAGCACAGGTAGCAGACCTGAGGAGTGGGGAGTGTAGCTACCAGTAATCTTGTGAGCTGAGTGCTCTTCAAAAAGTGTCCCATACATGTGAGCTGGAAGGCCTCTTGTAATGGCCTACCAGTAACTAAAAACGAGAGCCTCTGGTTGCTCAAACAAAACCACAGAGCAGCGCAGACGCCACCAGTCCTGAAAGCACTGCCCAGGCAGAGCGTATGGCTGCCTCCACCCCATCCTTGGGTGCATGTTCGTTCCTATGCCGAGCCCCAGCTGCCCAGTGTCCTCAATGTTTCCTGTTTGTTGGCTAGTAGATGGGGAGCAGAAAGGGCTATTGGGTGCCTTGCCCAGGCCACACCCTCTAAGGAGGTGACTTAGAGAGCAGTGCGGCAGAGGGAGCTACTTCAGACCAGAGCAGACACCCTGCCCTGCCTTAACACCAGCTTCAGTCTTTCTCATTGAGGGCAGAATCTCTACCCAGTAAAAGGAAGTTGTGAGGGGAAATACCATCTCTCTGATATATCACTCTAAGAAACGCAGAGAGGCTCGCCATAACCTTCGGGACGGCGACAAAAGAACATCTCAAACACACAACCTCGCCCTTTGGCTCTTAACCCAGAAGGAGCAGAAGGACTTTTCTTCAGCGAGTGAGTATGTTAAGTGTTCTCTTCTTATGGAATAACTTGGTAGAACTAATTACCAGCAGCCCATGATCTTTTAAATAAACATACCACCACTCCTACCTCTATGTTGACTTCAAGGTTAGAGGGGAGAGGGCTCTAGGGAGGGAGGGTCTCTTATTGCCATAGGAGCTCCCAATTCCCAGCACACTTGGAAAAGCATTATCACAAGGTGGGTGGCCCACTCTGTAAATTTCTTAGGTGGGAGCAAAGACCAACTTTCGAGTTCTTCCAGCCAGCAAAATTCTGGGGATCAAGTCTCTCCAGGCTAGCCCAGGTTGAGTAGCTGGTGGCTGACAACAAAAGGATCTGCTGTGGCTGGCACTTCAGCTCGGGGAGTGCTGGCCCTGAAGCTCCTGTGAGCCGTGGGCGACATGCTGGGCTGTAGTGGCGGTGGCCCGAGAGTGGCAGTGGATCCGGCGAGCATGTTCATTTCTCAGTTCTGACATATTTACTTGGCGAGGTGGAGGAGTATCTTCCTCACATAGTGACACCTAAGATCAGCAGTAACTCTGGCTAGGTGTTGTCCTCGTTTCTCCTTTTTTGCTAGTAGATTTTTCTGTTTCTTGGGATCCATTGCCCCTTTAGAATATTTTATGGTGTTTCAGTAGACACGTTTAAGAATTGAGACTCTTTTGTGATAATGTTAAGAAAGTTGCTTCATGACTTAGATAAAAACAGCCATGCTGGTTGCTCCGTTTATTTGCTGTTGTCCAGAAGAGAATTTTAAATTGGCCAGCAGGTACCATTTGTGTGTCTAAGAAAGCCAGACACACCTACTAAGAGCAAGTGCTCTCCCAGAAGAGCTGTGGTTAGTTCTTAGAAAAGGTGGATAAAGTCATCTGAGAGAGCTGCAACTTTTGCTTTTCCCTCCGGGCAGCACCCTGGGTGGAGCTCTCTCTATAACCTTGTAGACTCCATACACACAGACAATGAGAGAGTTTTACAGTCCAATAGGCAGCCTTCCTTCCTTCCTTGATGGGTGATACTGATTTCCTCTTTGTTTTCTTTTCCAGGTTGTGAAAATAAATCCACAACTTTTGGAGACCCAAGAACACTATCCAATCTCTCACTGGTGTGTTTTGCAAGCATCACTGCCTGGAGACTTCTACAAGGGGGCAATTGAACTGTCTCTGTCCCCCTGCCTGCCGTGTACCTTCTGGCCTGAGGCCTCATTCAGCCCCATCTGGGGAGCTGGGAGGCTCCCAGGTCTCACTGAATTATTGGCTCTCATCCCTTGGCCCACACGCCTGGAGGAATGGGCCACATGCAGAAGACAGGAGCCCCACTGCTCCGATGGCTACAGCTCAAGCTCTTTCTGCTCTCAGTGCTGGCTGGTCTTTCACATTTGTCTTTAGGTAAGTGGCTTTCAGGAACTTCAAACTAAGACACTGCTACGGCGTCTCTGTGTTGCCCCCTTCTGCCATCTGATAAGCTGGAAGGGACCTTCTGGGCTGTTTCTAGCACAAGGTAGGGATCAAGCTGTGGTGCAAAGAGGAGGAGACCTGCCTGTGATCAGAGAGCAGTTAGCCGTGCAAGTAAAGGCAAGAATCTAAACCTTAAAGGAAAGGTGGGGCTCTGTGACTTTAGTAAACAAATCCAAAAGCCAATTCAGGATTGTTTTTGAGCTGTGACCACTTCCGTGAATACCAGGTGCTCATTCTCACTTTGCAATGTGCCAAGGATGTGAGCCTTAAGGGGTTTGGTTCCCAAACCACATGTCTGTGCTAAAATTCAGCTCAAGTGCTCTGCCTTCAAAAGTTGAGCAATCATGATCTTTCCAACTTGAAGGTCAGGGGAGTAGTTGAAGAATATAATCTTCTGGAAGGTGGGTCTTTCTCTTCCTCCATGTTCCTGCACGTTGGGGGCTGATGTTCTTTGTCAAGTCTGGCACCTGACATTTTATAGTGTTAGGCTTTCATTTACTTCATAGGGTCCCACAAATGATGTTTTTTACATCTAGGGGCTTTCGATCCCAGTGTAGGTGGCTGTAGGGGCCCCAGAAGCTGTTTCCTTTAAGTGTTGCTTAGAGCATCTATGGTGTGTTTGTAGGGCGGCAGGAGCAGGTGAGAGAACTTCAAGAAGAGGAATTGGAAGCCAGAAGTTGCTTGAGCATAATGGTGGTAGCTTCAAATGTTTTGTCCTGAGTTTTTCAAATTTGCTGATTCATACTGTTGCATAGCCAAGAGAACCATGGCTAAGGCTTCAGAACTCTCATGTCAGATTTTGTATATATTTGATGGTAAGAGTGCATTTCCAAGAATTATAGTTTTTTTTCCTAAGAAGTTTAGGGAAACACTCCCAAAAGAGACCCTTCTGGGGAGTCTAAAATATATAGAAGGGAATTTATACATGCTTCCCAGAGACAAGGGTGTGTAGGAAGTGGAGGGGATGACAGAGTAATGAACAGAGAGCGCGAGAGAACAGCAGGAAAATACACAAGGAAAACTGAAAGGAAAACTTTAGCAATTGCCCTAGGTTAATTATAATAGGAGGCAAACGGAAGAAGATGAAGAAAGCAGTTTGGAAAAACCCCTTGTTGAACAGTTTCATCCAGATTTCATGGCTGCTGTTAATCAGCCAACAAACCCGCTCAGAGGCTTCTTATATCTGAACACATAGTACGCATGCTCCAGGTGCACCTGAGCTGCTCAGCCTTCTTACCCCCAGAGATGCTTGCTTGGATTAGCTAGGAAAAGCAAACACAGCCCACATACAAGAGTACTGTCGAGATGCTACAGAAGATTACATTTTTAAAAATAAAATGTTTTTGGTGCAAAGCTATTTTGAAATCCATGCATAGGTTTTCATGGTATTCACTTTCTATAAATTTTTGGAAGACTCCTCCATCCCTCATAACAGAAAGAGTAATGCAATGCTGGGTCCTGGCTGTAAAAGCCCCAGCTCTTGCTGACATAAAGGTGAGTTGGGGCAGCAGGGGGCTTGGTGGAAGCATGTAGGTGGCAGGGAGACTGGGCAGGGCAGCAGCCTGGACAAAGGTACAGGGCCAAGGCTGCATGCAACCCAAGAGCTCAGTCCTTGCTTAATCCTTTACTGATTTAACAAACATCGAGGCTCTACCATGTACAGGGCATTTTTCTTGGAACTGGGAACAAATTGTGAGCTAATTGGACAGGACTCTTGCTCTTTATGGAACTGAAAGTCTTCGGAAGATGGAGAAAAGTAACCCAAGAATGACTCAAAGAGTGTGTGAAGAACAGGAACCTAAGCTTAGAAAGCAAGATGTCAGTGATGTCAGAAGTGGCTCTGCCTCCCCTGCCAGGGTGAGGCTCAGTCACCTGCAGGAAATACAGAAACCTAGGAGCAAGCAAAGACCCAGGGAAGACTGTGGTGGTCTAGGAGGAGCTGGTGGGGCAGTCAGCAGGCTGTTTTAAGCAAAGGAGTAACCCCCCAACCCATGCTATTCACACTTGCATTGTGTGTGAGCAAAAATGCAATTTCTGGCACAGGGGTTTTTTTTTAAGAGAAGTGAAACTATTTTGCATTATACTACGAGGGAGTATAAATCATTATAGATTTGTCAGAACTTGTAGCATGTGCAAGAACAGAAGTGAACTGCAACATAAGCCATGGACTATGGGTGATCATGATGTTGCATCAGCATAGGCTCGTGGTTGGCATCCATGTACCCTGTTGTGTGTGATGTTGATGGTGGGGGAGGCTGTGAGTATGGGGAGGGATTGTATGGGACCTCTCAGTGACTTTCCACTCCATTTTGCTGTGAACCTGAAACCATCCTAAAATAGAGTTCATCTACTTTTTTGAAACTGCTGTTTTTGCTTCTGTCATCCTGGGAGCAGGCTTGCAAGTCTGCGCTTCCAGGAAGCATTCGGGTGATGCCATTGCTGCCAGACCATTCATCTAAGGTGTAGGGAGGGAAGCTCTAGCAACATTTTTAGAGAAAGGGTGTTATCCAGGTGTAAAGAGTGGTTGGTAGGGCATCCCCAGGGATTGCACCAAAGCCACCAGGAGGCTGTGTTAGTAGCTTTCAGAACACAGAGCCAGAAAGAAGTGGATAGATTGGAAAGTTCCTTTGACGTCACCTTCAGGAGGCTAGGGCAGAGTAGAGCAAAGATTTCAATTGTGCATGCTCTGGAGGAAAAAGATTGAGTGATTGGAGTGCAAGTAAGTGAGGTCATGGAGGGCATTACTTCAATGCACGGGATCTATCCCACTGGGCTCCCGTGTTCCACTCTGTGTCAGAAAGCCACACAATAGCCCTTACTCAGCTATCCATTCCCAAAGCAGGTAACCCACCCCTCTCGTGCATGAGGTGAGCCCCGCCAGCTGTCCCCCACTAGCAGTTTAGCATGCACTGTTGGTGGTGGCAACAACACCTGATTTCTGTACCCCAGAAACAAGTGGCTACAAGACAGAGGGCCCAGCATGGGCAGCTTCTCCTTTAAGGCACCTCAGCTCTGAAGCAAGAGGAACAGCCTCCTACAGGAAAAGTAGGCCAAGGGTGCAGGAAAGTCATTGGCCTTTCGGTCTGCAGAGCTGCAAGACCAGAGCACACCCCTGTGGACAGAACTGCCCTGCCTGCACAAGAGTGTCCCGTGTTGCCATCAGAAGCTGCAAGCCAAGGGGACCCCTGCGGGAGAGATTTTGCCATTGTTACCCTGGGAATGGCTGTTGGAGTCCCTGAGCATTGTGTGGATGTAAATAGGGGTTAAAGAAAAGAAGAGGGAAGTCATATACACAGAATACATGTGAATGAGCTGGGACAACAGAGGAGGGAAGTGCAAATGATGCAAAACCACTGCCAGCTGCCAGACATCACATGCACCTACTTGCCCCTGTGTGGCTAGCCCCTGCCCACAGCGGCTCTGGCCCTGTGGTTGCCGCTTCATTTAGAAGCTTAGGATTGTCTGAAAGGGTCACTTCCATCTAAGACTGTGCACAACCCAGTTACCATAAGGTCTCCAGGTAGGGGAGCCACAAATGACTTTTATGCCACTTGTCTTTGCTATTCTTTCTAAATGGACCATGTATTTCTTGTACAGTCAGAGTAAACATGTGTCTCATAAGCACATTAAGTCCTCAGTGAGAATGGACGTGGTGTATCACTTGACCTTCTGTTCACTGATTCACTCTGCAAATGGCTGTAGCAGTCAGGGCTTGTCCAGGGGTCCTCCAGGAGCCCAGGGGTCTCCTCCAGGTCTCCCACATGGGTTCAGGGCCTAAAGTCTTAAGCCATCTTCTGCTGCTTTCCTAGCTGCATTAGCAGGGAGCTGAATCAGAAACAGAGCAGCTGGGACTGGAACCGGCACCCACATGGGATGCTGGCATTACAGGTTTCTTTGACTTAGCACAATGCTTCATTTATTCTTATAGCTGAGTCATATTCCATGGTAGACTGGGTTCTTGAGATGTGAATAAACATGTCCAAAATGAATTGTGGCTACACAGGTTGCGAAATAGCTTCCTTTCCTCTATGTGTTAGTGGTGAGAATGCACAGTGTTCAGAGGAAAAAGGTAGAAAGATGGGGTAAGAGACTAACGCTGCTAAGTGGCCCCTGGGTCCCTCAGAGGGCAGTTGTCACGTATTCACCCAGCGGTGAGCAGAAGTGCCTTCCCTTTCTGCCATCTCTCCCCTCTCTTCTCACAACCTCTGCCCCTGTACGACTACCTCTGGGCCCCTGACACCGTAGGGCAGCCAATCACCATGATGACACTGGCTCCATCCTGGTGTGGTTTAACAAAGCAGGCTGCTGCATGCAGAAAGAGACCATTAAAACTCTGTGCACCTTTTGCGGTTAGTGCAACCCTTTATGTCTGTTGTTACATGATCGCGGCGTGAATTGTGTGAAAGGGGGTAGATAATCGTATACTCGTTTTGCAGAAGTGGTTCATGAGGTAAAGGTTAACTGACTTGTTCAAAGTTGTGAACGATTCTAACCCTCAGCAGATGGAGTCAAATTTCACTGTCTCGTAGCTAGCCATTCACTCAGGAAATATTTGCTGAGACCCAGCCCTATTGACACTGCAGATATGGTAGAGGACAAAGTAGACATAGCCCCCACGCTCGTGCCCCCACTCGTAATTATATGAGCATATCATATACAAGAAGTCTTCTAAAAGTTCATGGAAATGCATGTCTTTTTTTTTAAACTATGTATTTATTTGGTAATTAGAGTTACACAGAGAGAGGGAAAGACATATGCACAAAGAGAGGTCTTTCTTCCTCTGGGTCATTCTTCAAATGCCTGCAATAGCCAGGACTGAGCCAAGCAGAAGCCAGGACCTCAGACTTGAGCCATCGTCTTCTTTCCCAGGCACATCTGCAGGGAGTTGGATCAAAAGTGGAAGACCCAGTAATCAAACCAGCACTCATTTG